GCTTTGTAAAAAATAAATGTAATAAGGTGTTTTTTAAAGGAAAAAATTTATTGTAGCAACAAAAAACGTTTTCTATACGTATAAAGCAAAAATTACATTTGCAAAATTTCGTCGAGGGTGGGTTGGGTTCTTCAAGACAGGGCTTTCTTAGATCTAGTTCATTATTCCGTATCCCTTACTAGCTTTATTTGTGTTTTTATTTAGTGTTTTGGTAGCAGGGTTTAACTATCATTAACCTTGCAAGCAGTTTATGTCACTCAAACACAGGATTAAAGTTTTTTTGCGGGGGGGGGGAGGGGATAGGGATGCTAAATATTTACCCAATAAACCTGGATAATTATAAATAAATCATTAATTATGTGATGACAATTGAAATGGGATTCACTCCAAATCATGTGATCGAATTATGGTATTAAGAAGATGCTATTGTTACTCACTGACAAATTCGACAATTGTTTTGTCACGGGGACAAATAATTAACCCCTCTCAACATTTTATTTGTTTAGGCACTTACCCAATTACAGATGGTTTGTGGCACAATTCCTAGGTAACTCATATTATTTCTTGATAAACATGATTTTATAAACCTCCTTAATTTCCAGAAGTAAACTCTGCAGTTCTGGATAATTTGATTAATTTATGGAGCTATGTCAGAAAATTTGAAGGCAATAATTTGCAGTACCATTAAAAAAAGAGAAACATTGATTTCAGTAAATGTGTTAAATAGGACAAACATAACGGACAGAGGCTATGGGGGCTCCCCCCCCCCCTGGCCCAGTGAAATCTATTGATTTCAGGGGGTTCTGAGTCCCCCTCCCCCCTGGAAAGGCAAAAAAAAATTTAAGCCCCCCCCCCTGGACAAATTCCTGAAAACGCGCCTGATAACGGATAAATATAAGAAAAATTTTTCCGGCAAAATTTCTGAAATGATTATAATAGTTTGATCAGCTGTCATGTGTGTTAATGTTTAGGATATACGGTAAAGGAACAGGGGCAACCCAGTTGTTTGATCTCATGGTTCGTATGAAGAGAGAAATGACGGGATACGAATCTACAATAAAACCACAGGTTGGTTCATATTAGTAGTTTGTTTACCAACTTATGATTCTAGCGTATCATGGGTTTAATTGGAAAAGGGGGATTTTTTACCCAACATTGATTTTCTCAATTCCCTACAAAAACTACCACGGCCACTACCACGGCCAATCCCCACAACACCTCTTGTTGCGGCTTTTTTATTCTACCCTCTTCAATGATTTTGAACGAACTAATCTAAGATTAGTCTTGGGTAAGATGTTGTATTATTTAGATTGATAGCCTTGTGATACTGGATAGATCAATTGATCTACTCTCAGTCCTACCAACTCAACTCACTTATGAAGGTAATTAATTTTCAACATTCTTTATCAAAGGAAAACTTTTTTATGTTTTTTCTTCTGTCTTACCAATAATAGTTAAAGCATTTTGTTTTTATTAAATCTGTGACCATTGTCTATTTGTTTTGAAAGCTTCAATTTATATATGGAAGAATGTCACACTTGCGTCATTCTTGGTGTCCTCAATGTGCGTCCTTCTGGGCGTCCTTCTGGGCGTCCTTATCCTGGATGCTCTTGATAATGTGGGCATACCGACTTCATTTAAACTCCGGCGTCTAGATAACAACGTCTTTTGATGTCACGACGTCAAAGTTGGTTTGTTAAACGCCCAAGTTGGTCCTATATGCGGTAGAAAACACGTGTCTTGATTGCAAGAGAAATTCATCCGTTTATATAATTATTAGGCACAAACGTCAAACAGCTCGACAACCGATATACATATTTATTTTAATCTCTAGGTTTAATTGACGAATTGTTCGGTATACAGCAGAGCTCGGTTCGACTTCCAGCGGAGAAATTCTCTGAAATGATTGGAGAAGGTTCCGGAGATACAGAGCAAATATCTCTCTCCTCGTGTGAGGATCTCTACTCGGAGATTAGAGGTTTGAACTTCAACGCTGTGGGACCAACCTTGAGCAGGAAAGCTCGAAATATTTCGGCACAGTTCGAGGAACGGCATGAAGCGAAGACGGTTCGAGACATGAAGAAGTTCGTCCAGAAACTGCCATCGATGCAGGTAACTTGAGAAACCCACTTTTTAGATTTATATAGAACTTAAGTTTTAACTTCAAGACTTCTAAAGCAATGTCTCAGATATTGCAGTTAGTATAAAATACCCTTTTTCTAATGTGATTTCTTACTTATTCGTTTCTAGAAAAAAACGTTGCAGCAGTAATTCGTGTTTTGTACAATATTCATATGTTGGAATAGAACTGTTCACATTTTGTCGAGCCTAAAACTTAAGAATTATATTAATAAATTAGAAAATGAATATTTTGCATGGATGGACATTTCTTTCAAGATCTGATTAATGTGTTTCTTTAAAGTTGGATAAATTACAGATTTAGTAAGGAAGATGGCAGGAATAGTGAAGGATTTGTTTTTTAACAGGAACTAGATTTTATATTCCTTTTATATTTACAACCTGGATAAAACCTGAGAGGGAAACTTTTGTTTGAGATAGCGCTGAGCTTCGAAATTTGCGAATATCCACAGTTTATATTTTTTATCTAAAGAATTTAAGTTTTTTTCCGGGAAAAATTAGGATAGGATTTAAGATGTATTCAGCGTCCAAGGATAGAAACCGTCTGAGGATTGAAGACTCGGGTTTTGAATACAAAAGTTTTGTCCTCTTTGTACAAATATGAAGATAATAAACAGAATTTATAGATTTTACATTGTTCTCTCAGAGAATAGGAGTAGTAGCATAGTTTACAATGTTTCGTCAAAGAACAGGAGTTTTCATCTCAGCAGCAGTATGTCTATTATTACTTTTATGTAAAAGAACAAGATTTCTCTTATTTTTAAAACAGAGCTGTATTATTTTTGTCTGAACATTTTCAAACGCAGATTTTTTCATCTATTTTGAAATAAGTTCACATTTCCTTTTTGAAATACTTATTCCCTAGGCTGCGAAACAATCCCTAGTGACTCACACCTCTATTGCTGAACTAGTCAAGGAGAAAATAGATAGTGACGAGTTCCTCTCCACCCTAGAGATAGAACAGGAGATACTCAGCTACGTAAACTCAGACAGGTTTCGTTTTTATTCTCTCTCCACCTTAGAGATAGAACAGGAGATACTCAGCTACGTGAACTCAGACAGGTTTAGTTTTTATTCTCTCTCCACCCCAGAGATAGAACAGGAGATACTCAGCTACGTTAACTCAGACAGGTTTAGTTTTTATTCTCTCTCCACCCTAGAGATAGAACAGGAGATACTCAGCTACGTTAACTCAGACAGGTTTTGTTTTTATTCTCTCTCCACCCTAGAGATAGAACAGGAGATACTCAGCTACGTGAACTCAGACAGGTATCGTTTTTATTCTCTCTCAACCCTAGAGATAGAACAGGAGATACTCAGCTACGTGAACTCAGACAGGTTTAGTTTTTATTCTCTCTCCACCCTAGAGATAGAACAGTAGATACTCTGCTACGTGAACTCAGACAGGTTTAGTTTTTATTCTCTCTCCACCATAGAGATAGAACAGTAGATACTCTGCTACGTGAACTCAGACAGGTTTAGTTTTTATTCTCTCTCCACCATAGAGATAGAACAGGAGATACTCAGCTACGTGAACTCAGACAGGTTTAGTTTTTATTCTTTCTCCACCCTAGAGATAAAACAGGGGATACTCAGCTACGTGAACTCAGACAGGTTTAGTTTTTATTCTCTCTCCTCCCTAGAGATAAACAGGAGATACTCATCCTTTGAACTCAGACAGGTTATGTTTGTGTCCCTCTCCACCCTAGAAATAGATCAGGAACTACTCAGCTACGGTAACCCAATCAGGCTTAGTTCATAGCTTCTCATTGTTTATCCATTCGACATTTAAACCCGTACGATGATATTAAGAATTAAATTCGGTAACAGTTTTAAACCAACTATGTGTGTCTCAAACTTCAAAGAAAGAATCATAAGGGTGAAACATAATCAAAAATATTTACCCTCTCTATAACAGAGAAAATGACTCTTCAGAATTTAATTCTTTGTTACAAATTGGAGAATTAAAGCAAAAAAGTCTCAAATCATCCTTTTTTGGGACCCTTAGTACAGTAAGAAAAATATGAAAGAAAAATAAATCAAATATTTTAAAGTATTCCCTATTTTCCAGGTATCTAGAAGCCATAGAGGATTTAGCTTGTAAAGAATATCCTTTTAGAAAACTACTTAGGCTGATAGCAATGCAAAGTTTAGGTAACAAATATTTGATAGAACCATAAACCAATCTTTACAAAAACCTTAAGGTGGCGTTTATGTCATATAACAATATCTCTAACGCATTTCAACATTGAATACATATTTGAAATTTATAGATTGTATTTAGTTAGCTCTGGACTGAAACCTAAACTGCTGGACATGTATAAGAAATTGGTTTTGCAGACCTATGGTTATCAACATCTTCTTACGTTTGAAAACTTAGAAAAGGTTTGTTTTATCTTCCATATCTTTTCAAAACTTGTGTCACATATTCTTTCAAAACAAGTGTAATATATTAAACTAATGTCAATTTTTCTTTCAAATATAAGATTTTTAATTTCTACCACACACTTGTTTTTAGTATAAAGAATCCATTTTTTCATATTAAATATTCTAAGCTCTAACAAATTCTTAAACATTAATTGTTATTTTCAAAACTTTAATTCGTCTACTTGGCACTAAACTATTTTACGATATTTCTAAAAAGGCGGGATTGATAACTCTTAACTCCGGGCAGAAAACCTTTGGAGCTCTCAGAAAACGTCTTAATCTTATCTCCGACATTGTGGATGAACAGGTACAGAGAAATGACAATAATAGTCCGGTCAATCAGTTTTGGAGAAACAGAAGTAGAACTACCCTAAATCTCTAATTTGATTTGTGTATATTTATTTAGAATCCGACGGATATTGCGTATGTGCACAGTGTCTACGCTCCTCTGTCTGTTAGGTTGGTTCAACACCTGGAGAAACCTGGCTGGAGAAATATACGGGTCAGTACAAATTCTCTTTTGTTTCAGATTTTGAAAGTATATAGACATAATCGAGTTTTAGAACTTAGTTATAATATTGAATTATGATTGCAGAATTTTATGATTTTGAGCAGAATAATTAATAATTATTCAAAGCTCTGATCAAAATTAGAATGTCATAGATGTCATATGAAATTGGTTTCTGGTGTTTGAAAAGCAGAAGTATATTATACATTAATCCTAGAAAAATCCACCTCATCCTATCTATATGCTATCAATGTTTCACTATTGGTCTCTAAATGATGTGATATTTGAAATTGAAAATGAAGTATTAATTATGGAAATGAGAAATGATATTAACTGACTCAAACATTCATCTTATTGAAAGCTGGTGTATTTAGAGCTGTGCAAATTGCTTTCAGTTTAAGTATCATTAGAGAGGTTAGTGGGCCGGGGGGGGGGGGGGGNTTTAAAATATGAACCATGCCCTGAAAATGGTGCGAAACAACTAATAATAGAAGAGTAAAACACTGTTAAGAAAATTATGTATCGAATTTATTACGAATAAAAAGTTGCTAAGTTTTTTTCATTTCTGCCGAATCTGAAATTTTTTTCTTGTTCACTTCTTAGACTTCTTAGACAATGGTGCGACATGCTTGTCCTCCCAGATATCTTCTTCATCACTTTCATCCTCGTCGTCTTCAGAATCTTCCTCCTGGAACCGTCCCTTATAGACGAATATTTTTATATTTTTATTAACATTATTAATTATTTTACGCGACCCTCAAATTAAACAAAAGTAATTTTCTTGATCGTCTCAGCTTTTTAAATCTACGAGTTACATTCTAGGAAATCCGTGCCCAAGCTTATTGACATGATTTTTTAAAACTAAAAAGATTCTCTGTGATACTCAGATACTGAGACCGAAAGGGAATCCTTGTGAATTGTTAATAGCACTTTTTAAATGAAGTTTCATTATAATTAAAAATGATATTTATTAAAGATATAATTAACAAAATTAAAAATTATATTCATTAAAGATACACACAATATAGTAGAACCCATAAAACTCCAGAATAGGGGTGAAATTTTAAACAGTCCCATGAAACATGGAACTCAGCAATTGTACACTTTACACCGACCCATTTTATTTTTGTAAGTTAATTGTTTAACTACTGTTATAACCACTGGTATAACAACATCAAGATGTACGTAAATGATTAGATACTTTCACATGTATTTTCTACGGATTGTTACCTTGTCTGTAGTATACCTCCAGTACAACAGTCCAGATATAATAACTGTCAAAATAAAACCAGACACCAAGGGTTCCCTGGAATAATTATTAATAATTACCTATTATATTTAAACTTGCGATAGTGAAGAAGTTTCACTTATTAATATGCTTATTGGAACTTTCTGTATTATCTGTTCTGGATTGTAGGATTTGAACTTTGTTTCCAAACTAATTGCGAGTCCAAAAATATGATTTTCAAATAATAAAGTTTGGTAGTTGTTCTCTCCGAGCCCTGTGTATTTTATTAAATAAATGCAACTAGTTTTTCTTTAGACATGTAGATTAACTGGGAACAAAGTTTGAAGTATGTAATTGTTTAAATCCTTACTTGTAAGTAGACCACCAACTTTTAACCTCCGTCTGAGCTACTTCGACAGCCTCCATACTCTAGAGAAAATAGTTAAATATTTTAAAATTTAAAAATTAAAAAACAAATGTATGGATTTAACGATTTGACAGAATTAAATGTTCAAAACCTGAATTTGAAACAATCAGTTTTCAATTGAATTAAAACGCTTCTCTACTCGAAATCTTGTTTTGGTTTCTTGGTTGATATTTGAAGTTAGTTGTTAAATCTTTTCGCTGAGCGTGCCATGGTTAGTGTCATGGTTAGTGGTTACCTTAGACAGAGAAGATTTTATCGCTTTATATCCTTGATCAGCGGCATCTTCCACGGCAGAAGCTATGCCCGTGCTAAAAAGATTATGTTAAAAAAATTGAAGTTTCCAGAATGAGTTCAAAATAAAAGGCTTAATAGTTTTTAAACTCCTTACTATGCATCACTTGCTTCTTTTCCAACTGTCTGTTTCTCCTTAAATAAACATTTTCTTGGATAAAGGTTTTTTTACTTATCTCCATGTAGGTGAAATTAAATATTTCGCCAAAATGTCGTAACAAATAATCTTTAACAAAAGTAATTTAATTTGAAGTATTTTACCTTGCTAAACATATAAAAAATGAATACTTACACTCATGGCGTATTCCTAGAACGTTGATTCTCGGGTGCGAGTAGGAAATGCTATTGCGGATTTTTCCAAATTATTTTGCGAATTTCAATAATTCTTGCAGTTTCGAACATTGACAAAAATCAGAATTAAAAATGGAAAATGAAAAATGCATTGACCTTTTTTGTTCCTTTTGATTCCAAACGTGAAACTTGGCAAATATGGGCAGTTTAGTCAACATATGATTTCTTCAAAGATTTTATTTATTTCATATATTACTTATACGGTCGATTTAGTGTGTATCCGAACCTCCCAGAGGAAGGGTGTCAGCAGAGCTTTCTAAGCCTGTTGAGAGAAAGGGCGCTATGTGCGTTGTATGAGTAATCCAGTTTCCATTTTGAGGATGGTGAAAACCCAGTTTATGTTATTATCTAGATAGCAAGGACACTTCTCTCCACAACTGAGTGGAAAGCGTGACTAATCCCGAAGAAGATATAGTAATAAAGATGAATACAGAAGGAATACAGAAACTCAAAACATCAGGGATGAAGTACACGCTGATACAGGTTTTAAGGGGGAACAGAGCCTTCAATAGACTTTAAATCAAATACCATAAACTGGGTTTTCACCCTCCTCACAATGGAAACTGGATTACTCATGGCAGACCTCTGACAATGATAGGCTTTTGTTTCATAAAAAAAAATAAAAAAAAATGAATTGATAAAGTTAAAAACTTATACGGTCGATTTACACTTCAACAAAGATCTCCACTGAATTTAAAAGATTTCTTAAATAAATACTGAACTCTGTGCAGGATGTGCTGGATATGCTTCCTGGACCTAGTTTTGAAGATACTCAGCAATTGAATGGAGCAATCAGAAACCATCATAGGACTACAGAACAGGGAAAGGTAAAAACTCATCTTTTTAAATAAAAATTCATTTTGAAAATGTTATTCATGTGTATCCTGTATTTTCATAATCTATTCTAGGATGCTAACTTTGAATATTTAATTCAGTCTTATTCTAATTTAATGAATTCCGGGACAAATTGAAAATGTGAATTGGTGTCAGCTCAGAGGGTTAATTAAACTTAATTTACTGAATAGTACTGTGAGAACATGATATTCTCAGATAGAAGGAAAGTGATGTTAAAGGGAGATCTATTGGGCTTTGTAAATTCTTGGTAAACTCTTTAATTTATTCGCCAAAAAATACAAAAATATTTAATTGTTAAATTTTTAGCAAAGGTATTATTCGATTTTAAATTCATACATATTACAAGTAGATAAATTAAATTAAATTCAGATTTTTTACTTTAAAAAACAATTGACAGGTTTAAGATTCATGCATATCCTTCATCTTATTTAATTTAAAAACCATTTTCGACCAAAAAAGGTTTAAAAAAGATATGAAAAGACCTCAGAAAATATTGTACCTTGTAAGATGACGTTCTATTATCATGTTTTCAAAGTTTAAGGGGACTGTTAATGTAATTCCAAAGAACCCTCCATACAAATTTGGGCACACCTGAAAACTTGATCTGATCAATGAAAAGATATCTTCGTTTTTCTAGCTTGAAAAGTTGTTTGTAGCGTCCACCCGCAAGAGAAAGAGAAAGGGCAAGCCTTAATAAAAAATAATCAAAGAGAAAAGCTTTTAAGGGTACCGTTCTAGCTCGAACATGCCATTCTATAAATGTAGACTCACTTTAAATTACTTCTACAGTCTCTTTAAAAGAAATTTCCTCTTTGAAAAGATACAGCTCTCAAAAATAAGAAATGTCGGAAAAACACTAAAAGATTGAATTTCTAGATTGTTTTGGTAATGTTTGTTGGTGGGTGCACAATGGCCGAGGTGGCTGCTCTGCGGTTTCTCTCACAACAGGTCAGTCTAACAAATAAAATAACAAGTGGGAGAAGTCTCAAATTGCGGTTTTCATTAGCGAGAAAAAGTGTTGTTACCGGGAACCTCTAAAAATACTTTATTCATTTGAAATCGGTAACTGAGTTTTTATTCCTCTTAAAAACTGCATCAACCTTTAGTGGAAGTTTTGTAGGTTTCTCTAAATAAATAAATAAAACATTTCTTGGTAGTGTTAATGCTTTGTTACAGACAGATTTTCGATCTAAATGCTAATGATGGTAGAAAGCAAGGTTATAAAATATCAGCCTGTCCTTGTATCTAGTATCAAGATTAGTTAAAAAAAAACTTCCAGATCATCAGGGCCGGTGTACTTTGAGATTTATGAGACTTCAGCCCATTTAAGATTGATTAGGAGTTATGGTTTTAAATTGATGAAAAAAAGTCCAATATTTTAACGTTAAATGTTACTGTGACAAAATCTTATTAATAGCAAGAAATAGTTTAAGTACGTTGGCTAAGCTGAACCACTTATCTTGTTCAAGAAAAGTGGTTCAGCTTTGTCCACTCAGTTCAACTACTACGCTCTGTTCCTTAAATTTGGTACCTGTTTTTATTCTATATATTTTCAAACAGAAACATATAACTGAAAATGTAGAAATTATTTTTAATTCTAGTTTTGTACTTTCAGGAGGAAAGTAGTGTTGAATATCTGATTGTAACCACAAATATAATTACTGGAACAGGGTTCATACACTCCCTAGAGACGGAGATACAAACCCCACTGTTCTGAGCTAAAACCGGAGATATTTGATTCGTCCTTCTCCGGATCATGATTAAGGATGATCCTGCAACAAATGCATTATGAAGAACGCTAGAGGTTTGCTTTCCACAATGATGGCCAAGGAACGAAAAAACCCTCCATTCTAACTGATAATGGAGAAAATTCTATAAATTTATTTATTTATAATATTTTGTTGAAACTTTTATTTTTCATGTCCATAACATTTTTGAAAAGATTGTGATCTGATTGCATTTTGTGTAACCTATCTATAAAATGAATATTGCAGAAAATATGATTTCAATCTCCCGGGTGGGACGTGCGCTTAGCCAGCGCTCCGTGCGTGCATTTTCCTGCTCTGTTTCTCATCATGATACTCCTACGCACACAGGACAAACGTTTGAAGCTAATGACGTAAGGTAAATATACAATATACAATGTGGAATAGGAAGACGATTGTTGGACTCCAGTATGATTTAAACACAGGGTTACCCACAAAGGATGAGACTGTAAAGACGACCTGAAACTCCTCACGTATGTCGGTTCAAGGTTAAATTAAGTCTTATGTCTGGAGTACGGTCTTATTCAATAATTTTGCACAAAAAAATAAGTTTATAATCGCGGGAATCATGAATATACGAAAACGGACGGTGTAAATTCCCTACAGTCGTCTCTAAAGTCTGATCCTTTGTGGGAAACCCTGTAGTCCAATGAACACAAAACACAGAAGTGCATACAGACCTAATTAATTAGCTTAACTAATAAATTATCAATGGCAAAACAATTAGCTTCATAACAACATCAAATAAATTTTAAGATGGATAAAACGTCGTCTTCATATTGCACGGCAATCCCGGGCACTGCTAAAATCATGATTTAAGATCAAAGGCGGGTAAACTGCAGTAGTAACTGTGTGTAACCTGGGCAACAACGGGCAATTCAGCTAGCCTAAATAATGTTGTTCTTTCAGAAACGTGAGGTTTGATGTGACCGGCCTGAAGAAACAAACCAACGAGGCCTGGGCCATTGACCTTATTGCTAAAACCCCGGTTACTAAAGTTCACTCACGCGTGGTAAATAATTTCATTCCTTCTCATTAACAGAGTTAAGCTTGACATATTATTATTAGTTAGACAGAGAATATGTTAGATATTGAAGTTTTTATTTTTTTATTTATCAAATTAAAATCAGAAATACAGAAATACAGTCTTGAATTTCTAGTTAAAATAATATACACTTTTTTAATTTGTGCAATCATTAAAGAAACTATACTAAAAAACTAGTTTAAGGGGTAATATTTTCAAAAATTCTTTAAATAATAAAAATCAAAGCTTTGGGGAAGGGTTGAATTGGTTTTCCTTTTGAACGTTTTTAGTTTTTACGCACAAAAAATCATTTCTTAGTCCAACACAAATCATTTTCACCTAAAAATATATTTTTTTAGGTGTCCTGTGATGGTGGTGGTGGAGCTCTGGGGCATCCTAAAATCTTCATTAATGTTGATAAACCTGGTCCTCAGTCCTGTAACTACTGTGGACTTAGATTCGAGCTAGAACATCATCATTAGTTTATAATATTCTTCCTGGTAGTTTATCAGAGATAGGAGAGTTCTAGGTTAAATATCGAGGATATTTGAGGTCGTAACGTCAGAGGCTTGAGCTCAACATCTGTCCTCAAACCTGAGGTTGAGGTCAATATCTCTCCTTAATCTTCCGAGTAGGATATTTGAGTTTATGAGCATCCTTTTCATTTCGGAGACTTGAGGTCAAATAAGTCCTCCGGCCTCTGATATGTCCTCCTGCACACGTCGGAGGATTGATTTAGATATCCGTCCTTAAACCTCGTAATCCTAGATTTCCCTTTCTCTTGTATGTTCAAACTTAACTGACATAATTATATAGAGATATTTCAGAGAGAATGGAAGTATCTCTCCGTGGGTTTAGAATGAGTCCGGTCGGGTGTAGGTTTCTCTCAATGTCAACTCCAGGTTGGTAGAAAACTTAAAGGAGGAGAGCTCGTTAACTCTTCAGTTTGTGATTCTTGATTAAGATTTTCAATCCAATTTTTTTGTTTTTGATTTATTAAATTCTTGCACATACAGCAATTCTGACATTTTTGAAAATAATAGTCTTTTTTCTTCAAATATTTTTAATTAATTATAATTGCCGTTTCATTTTATACAAGGAATGTCTGGAAATTCTTAAAAGCCTTAATACATTGGTTTTTAACTGACAAAAATTCAGGGAAGAAAAGACCACAACATTCATTTCAGAAATTAACTTTTGATATAGTATTTTATTTATTGTTTTTTGTATAATTTTACTAATCCTTTATTTCAAGGTTTTGTGAGAAAGCAGTTTGGCGGGGATAAAAAGTTTGACGGTGCAGGGATATTTAAAAAGGAATGGATTTGTAAAATTGGCCCAAACCACAAACATTAAATCTTTGCAATATTTTACTTTTAACGTTAAAACTGAGGCCGTTGATTTATACTCCAATATTAGGACGCTGCCACTATTCTAGAGGAGGAAAGAAATGGAGTTTTTAGAGTTTTAGATATAGGTAATTATATTTTTTAAGAAATTAGAAAAATGTTGAAAATGAGAAGGATAATTGAAGTCGTTTCTATAGAAGTTTATTGGCAGTATACCAAGACTTTTATGAAGCTATAAATTATATTTCATTGTCGCAGCACATCCTTCAAAATAAGATTTGATCTGAAAAGAAAATATTTACTTCTACTCGAGAATTTTATTTCAGGTCGACCAAAGTCGAACGAGTTTCGACGAGACAACTTGAAGCGACCGAATTTCGACAAGCACGGCCCGCCGCGACACACTGAGATGAAACCTGATCAGGATTGGGGGAGTGTCTGGCCCGCCCCAAGAACATTTCATCCGGCGGTAGTTCCGCTCCCGCTCCGACAGGGAGTCGTACAGATCAAAAGTCAGGTGAGCTATTTAAAAAGATTAATTAAAAAGATACAATGTGTCCAAATAAACATAGACATTAGATGTGGACTCTGGAAATTGTCTTTGATAACGTATATAAATTTTGCCGCTCTGTTCCACAAGTAAAATATATCGAAATGCATTTTCTTTTTTTCAGACGGTTCCGTCTAAATACGCCAACCTGGAGCTGATGAAAATCCCTAATTTCTTGCACTTAACCCCACCAGTTGTTAAAAAACATTGCGCGGCAATTAAAAAGTTTTGTACACCTTGGCCGGTAGAGTTAAACACAGAGGAACAGATACAAGAACATTTCCCGATACAGGTAGGAGGAGGACTTTGGAGGAGGATTTCGAGATAATCCTTTAAAAAGTTAAACTTCTCGAATTTTTATTGGTAAATTATATCTTTAATTAAAACCTTTTTTTTATTTTCTAATTGAATTGGCTCAGCTTAAAATAAACCTTAAGTATGTTTGTTAACAGTGTTATGGGGGTGGGTGGGTACTGGGTCGAGAAATCGTATTAAAGAAAGCATTTAAACATGTTATCTACCTTCTTTATGTCGTAAAGAATTAAAGAGATTTTTTATATTTGATCATTTTTGTTTTATTTTTAAGATGAATTCAAGGCTTCATTCCTCTGTATATTTAAAAGATAGTTAAATGAAGCCCACAATTTGGCATTTCCAAGAAACCAGGCCACATATGTTGATTGCTCTAAGCATAAACTTGTTAATGATTTTTCACAAAGGTAATATCGGGTTGATCAAAGAAAATCTTCAAGCTGTTTTGTTTAACTCTCTTTTGTAAAGGTTTTATAAAATTAGTTGTTTTTGAACTTTCTTTTATAAAGGTTTTATAGAATTAATTCCCTGTTTTTTAACGCTCTTTTATAAAGGTTTTACACAATTAATTTCCTGTTTTTGAACGCTCTTTTATAAAGGTTTTATAAAATTAGTTCCCTGTTTTTGAACTTTTATAAAGGTTTTATACAATTAGTTCCCTGTTTTTGAACGCTCTTTTATAAAGGTTTTATACAATTAGTTCCCTGTTTTTGAACTCTCTTTTATAAAGGTTTTATACAATTAGTTCCCTGTTTTTGAACACTCTTTTATAAAGGTTTTATACAATAAATTTCCTGTTTTGAACAGTCTTTTATAAAGGTTTTTTACAATTAGTTCCCTGTTTTTGAACGCTCTTTTATAAAGGTTTTATACAATAAGTGCACTGTTTTTGAACACTCTTTTATAAAGGTTTTATACAATTAGGTCCCTGTTTTTGAACGCTCTTTTATAAAGGGTTTATACAATTAGTTCCCTGTTTTTGAACGCTTTTTTATAAAGGTTTTATACAATTAGTTCCCTGTTTTTGAATGCTCTTTTTATAAAGGTTTTATACAATAAAGAACCCGTGTCAAGTAAGACATTTTGTAATATCTCTTTCAATATTAATAGCAGCCGGTTCTATTTTTGAACGTAGACTCATATAATTTGTTTTCCTGTTTTTGAACGCTCTTTTATAAAGGTTTTTTACAATAAATTTCCTGTTTTTGAACGCTCTTTTATAAAGGTTTAAGATTCTATTAATTTCAGGTTATAACGAGTAACTATCTAAACTCTAACTCTTCTGTTCGAGATAAACGGTCTCGTATTGTTGTTCTCAGGTTCAAACTTTCATCTCTCACATTAGACAAGCACTCAAGGGACAAGTTTATTCGTCTTGTTGGAGAAAGGTGATTATAATTATTTAAGTTTGCATATAAAAGAAAGGTGAGTGTGCATGTAGTTCGTTCAAAATAATTATGTTAATATCAATATTGATCTATGTTGAAAAGATCAATATAAGGAGCGCGCGTGTAAGAATGAATATTCTTCAACTAGTGTAATAATTTCCATTCTTTAATGCTTTAAACTTGTGAGAACATACATTCTTTCACGCTCTGACCGTGTAATAATTTCCGTTCTTACTCTGGCTGAGCGTTTAAGTATGAGAATTCTGCACCTACAGTGTAAGAATAAGCATTCTTAAACGCTAGGAAGGAAATAATATTTCTTCTCCTGAACCGTGTAATAATGTGAATTCTTACACGATACTACTATAGAACCGAACAGATATGATATTATACCCGGTCCTCCTTCCCTTCCAAGGAACACCGAGCCAGGAAACTTTGTTATGTTTGCAATTCAATTTGATTGTTTGATTGTTGTAATCTCTGTTTGTCTTTTTGTTTGTTTTTCCGATCATAACGCAGGAACCCCTGGACCGATTTTCCTCAAATTTTATTTGGGAATTCGGGAAAGCCACGGTTATGTTCTTAGTCTGATTTTGAGATTCCAAGTTAATTGGGTGCAATACTAGGAGGGAAAAATAGCATAAATTCGTAATTCACGACCATGTGCGGGTAAACGGTGGGAGTGTTACCTGGGCCACGCTGGGTTCCCAAAATAGTTTATTGTATATTTAGTTTTATATTTATTAATCTTAATGTATTCCTATTATAATATTTATATATATATCTTAAGATGGGTGGTACAGCTGTCTGAAATGTATTGTATTGTCAAGATTAAACATGTTGTCAAGTTCGGAGATTCAATTCTATTCACAGTTAATAGTCCTAATATTCTCATCTTAAATCTTTAGTTTGGAAAATAAATTCAAGATTAATCTTAGAGATTTCAACCTTTTTTATCTTTTAATTCAATTTCAAAGCTTTAGAACCCTATCTAACAAGGTAGAATTTCTCCATATTCCTTCTTTCTTATTTTAAGATTTATCGGTTATTTTGTAAAGTTTCGTAAACAAACACTAGCCTGGACTCTAATTATAATTGCAAATATCCATTTAATCAATAAGTTGCGTTTTCACGTATTTTCTTGGAATTTTTAAATTCATTTGGGAATCCTTCTGAATAACTGTTTGAAGTCTTTTGTNGACCCCACTAGCACCACCATCCACATATCTGTGTGGATGCAAGATGCAAATATCAATTAGAATTTATAAATCTGATGTTAAGGTATGACCATGAGTCGGATGAAGTTACTCTAACTACAGATAGATGCCCGTACAGAGGTCAGAACCTGGAGTACTCACAATACCTTCTCACTGCTCTCTACTACGAGTCCTGGAAGGTCGAACCCTGGGAACAGAAGGAGTACCTGGACAAGGAGGAGTTCCAGGTTGAAAAGGAGGAGTTGGACGAGTTCACCTCCACTATCCAGAAGATCTTGAATGACGGAGAGGATGAGGATACCTTGAGGGAGTATAAAGAATCTGCTCGGAAATTACTGGAGCTGCCCCCCACTACTGTTATACCGCAGATTGTTAGTAATTAAACTTTTCTCAACTTATGTTCGTCTTCTCTACATTTTGTACATAAAAGAGTACATGTTTACTTGGTATATGTAAATATTTTTATTACTTCACGACCTCAGGTACGTATTATGTTTTCCATAATGTTGGACTGATTTTGAAGATATTTGTGGGAAATGATACAGTGATAACCAGTAGACGACTTTTAGACGCAAATAATGCCTTTAAATAGTCGAATTGACATTAACGGCAGTAGTGCAGTGTAAACGGACCCTTTTCACTTAATTAGTGATTTGAAAAGTATCTGGTTAAACTATTTGCTTTGTAACAACATCAAATACACTTATGTGTCTTCTCACTATTCCATTGAATTCTGGTTATCACCGTCGAGTGTAGATACAGGGTGTCCCAATAAACATGGGAATTCAGTGACGAATTTGATATCGTCTTTTTAAATAATTCTTTGATTTAGTATAGTGATACCTACTGAGAAAGCTGTAATCTGTAAGAATTTCGTCTGCTAGTGTTCACATTTTGTTTGTTTATGTTTTGACTGCATACGATTGTACTTAGTAAAACAAGAAAATTGCAGTATACAAACAGATTAAACTTGTCCGTCTTTACTTTTCATCGTGTGGAGACATTATAGACACAAATTTACAGTCTCTTACCCTTTTCATAAAATAAACTATAGAAGACATGATAATATTATGGCTTTTAAAATTTGGTATTGCAATGCTAATTCGTAACAAAGACGATATCGAATTCGTCAATGAATTCCCATGTTTTTTGGGAAACCCTGTATGATCATTTGTATGCTTTTTCAAAGTTAGTTTTCTTGGTTGTTGGTATTCTGGAAGGGTCAAGGATATTGAATTATTCACGAGTTGGTCAAAATATCAAGTTCAGGAAGAATAAAGGAGGATTGAATTGAATTCCTGAATGAGGTTTTCAGCATTGAAACGTATATAAAGGGCAGTTTCAAACAATCCTTACATTTATATTTCTTAGCTTTCATCCTGTGCTTAGAATCCGCAACATGTTGGCTTCCTGAATCCGGTCCGGGTCTTTATTACACAAATATCAACTGCACGCACCTCTGACCCTTAAGTTAAAGTAAATTCAATCTAAAGTCTGACCGCGTTAACCTTGTTGCACCGGCTAGTCTTATTGAGTGTCTGCTTTATTTACCCAATGTCAGGGTGACACAGTACAATCTGGGACCGAAAAGGTTGACCCGGCTCGGAAATTCAAATGTACTACGGCTGCCCGTGACTGTAAACTAACTAGTCATTATTAAAAATTTCATATTTTCTAAATGGTTCACTAAGCTTCATCATAAAAATAAGCGAGAAAAAGAAATCAAAAGTAAATCTTGAAGACATGTTCATGACCTGGTTTCGGATTCATGTTTTTTATCGAAGGTTGATCAGTTGATGTCCTCAAACTTCAAGTACGGTTAAATTTTGTGTTGATTCGAGTTGGTTTTGTGCAAGCTTGTATTTTTACTCTGATGCGCTCCAATGTACGGAAAATGTCGTCTTAATGTTTCGCCACTCGGGCTTTTAATATCAGTGACAATACCCGGGCCCTGGACTAAACACCTAAGAGAGAAAGATATAAACCTAACATGACGTCACTGATTATAGAGACGAGAGTGACGTCATTTTAGGGTTTCATCTAGTTTCCGTACATCGGAGCACATCGAGAGTAAGCAACCTTTGTACACTACCTTGGTTTGCGTGGCCTAGCTCAATATGGAATATCAATAAGTGTTCCCAAATTCAATATTAGCAGAATTCTGTTAGGTCCATGCATGTAGTGATGCATTGAGTAGGTTTGCTTTTGCTTCGTTTTTGCTTCATTTTTTCACGATATTTTCTTTCAGGCTCAAAATTTGGCACATATTGTTAGAATTTGTTTATTTTAAACAATTGGTTTCCTTACATTGTTCCAAATTTTTATACACTGGCCGTTTTTCATCGGTTTTTCTTTTTTATCAAACTCAAACTAGGGCAGAAAACAGTGATGAAATTTTGGAAGTTTTATTAAAAGTTTTCATAAAACGAACCGAGACTATTATCATCACTATGCATGTGGTTTGTGCCAGAGATAAGAGAGTTATAGAGATCGATTAACACCTATAATATGCGATATTTTCCACAGCATGTTCTATAGTGAAGTACTGTACACAACCAATCAGAAAACATCTGTATTCAGGAATATTTAAGGATCCTTTGAAAAGGAAATGCAAAATAAAAATAAAAAAAAATATTCATAAACGTTGTGATTTATGTTTAAAATTGGAGTATTTCTTCAAAAGTTGTTAAACTTTATCCCTGAATGCAACAAGTGGTCGTGAGATTTCAGTCAATAAACATTACATGGAACCGTAGCATGGCGTGCGTGGACACTATAGGCCTGTTCAGCCTATCCAGGTAGAGTGTATGAGAAGTCTGTGTAGTCTGTGGTTTGTTCTGTGCTCCTTTATATTTGAAACTTGTTCCTGTTGATGTAAATATCGAGTTTATTTCATGATTCCATTTTTATATTTATATATAATTTGTATTATAAAAAGACATTTAAATGTAAAAGTAAACACATTTAAGGTAACCCACTAAGGATGATACTGTCAAGACGACATGAAACTCTTAATTCTAAGGTTAAAATAATTCTTCTCACCTAAATATAGTCTTTTTCATGGTTTATTTAATTATTTGGCAACCAGTTCACAGTTGCAGGGAATTATGAATAGACGGTTTAAATACCGTACAGTCGTCTCTGAAGTCTCATTCTTTGTGGGTAACCCTGTACATACATAATCATAAATTACAAAGAAATTTAATAAAATCCATCAATATTTGTATATTCTTGAAGGAATTAGAAAGAAGGGGAAAGTTATTCCGCGAAATGTTTGCAAATACAATTTGCGGGTTTGTTGCAGAATATATTTACGAGGGTAGAACACAGTTTTCTGCACAACATTATTTCTTTGTTTTAGCACATTATTTAGAATTGTTACAATCAAATCATTTCACTGTATACAACAAAAATCTAAAATAATTAACTTAAAATTTTAACACGGTTTTTAAAAAGGTTTTTGCAAGTTTAATATTCAGAAATTTTCGTCGAAATTTTTTTTTATATATATCTTTCAAATACTGTCGACATCTAATTTCTATCGTATGTATATTGTATATTGTATATTGTATATTGTATATTGTATATTGTATATTGTATATTGTATATTGTATATTGTATATTGTATATTGTATATTGTATATTGTATAGCCACTTGAAAGGTATTTTTCTACTTCAGAAAATTCTAAGGAAAACTCGGTAATATCTGGCAACTATTAAAGGAAATTTTAATAAGAAAATAGAAAGAAGGCTTCAAAACATGTAAAAGTTCATTGTCAAATGTTTTATCTTTTAAAAAGAAATGATAGTTTTTTACATTTACTTGCACATTTTTAATAAAAAACATTTTAGGAAAAAAAAAATTCAACATTTAAAGAATATTGATTAAGTAATATTAAAAATAAAATCATAGCGACTTGGGTGTATTTATGCTTGGATTTGGATGCTAAATGGAGTGTTCTGTAGACTCATATTCAAAATTTATTGAATTAGTCTCGTCAAAAATCCAAATCAGTATTTTACGTGAATCGGCATTTATTATGCAAAAATGAAACTAACGCGCGCAAAACATTCTCCTTCCCTGTTTGGTTAGAGGGTGTCCCAACTCATATTGGATAATGACATATTGGAATTTTTGGGACAAACAGAAGATTTCTAGATTGATTCATTTTTTTAAATAGTGCATTGCTTATGTAAAAGTTTGCAGGCAGAAAATGCAAGGTTCGTTAGTTCTCTATACGTATTTTGGCGTTAAAATGAGATAATCTAATATTATATTTGACGTTCTGTATGTACCAAGTGGTTTCCCTAAAGTTAGCTTTCCAAGTTTATAAATAATTTAGGTTTTGTAAGTTTTAAAAAACTTTGTTGAGTAAAAATCTGACTTGAAGTCAGAACATTTGTGGTTTGAATCTCAGGATCAACCATTAAGCATTAATTTAAATCTTTTGTTTCATCCTCGATATATCTTGGTTTTCATACCCTACTGGGATTACTTTAAGCTCCTCAAATTTAAAAGTGCTCTCATCGGATGTAAATATCAAGCGTTCAAAATCAACATTGCTCCACCCAAAAATTCCGACCTTAGAAATGGTTAATTAGAAATGGTAAATAATGAATGGACTTTCCTAGCAAGATAATGAAAAGATGATGTAAAGGTTGAAATGAGACGAAAGTCTGAAATCTCTGATTAATGAGATGCAATCAGCCTCCGGTGATGAACACTATCCAGATCAGTTGGCGAGGTTAAATCTCCGGTCAAAGTCCTCTGACAGGTCGAAAGGAACGTCGGGTAGTTTGGGTGAAATGCCAGCTTTTTTGTAATATTCGGTCACCTATATACAAATACAATAATTTATTATTTTAAAACAGTTCATTGTTTAGTTTGAAATTGAAAACGAGAAAGAACATTGAAGCGGACTTTAGATGTAAAATTCAAGTGACCCTCCCTAAATAGAGAAGCATGTATGATTCACAATAGTTTTTTAAATCGTTATCTAAGTAACATGGAGGAAGATATTGTCGTTTTGCCAACTTAAAAAGTGTAAAATTCTTACAAATGACTTCATTGTCTCCGAAACATAAGACAAGTCGCCTTTTGCAAACAGGGAACAATTGAAATCAATTAATTTTCAGTTACAAAAATATCATATCTTTCTTTGATCAGACAAAGGTTTAAAGGGCACTGTTGTGAATTTGACTTGTATTTTCAAGTGCACTTTGAAGTATAATTTAGATTCACTTGCAGAAGAAGCATGACATATTGAGGTTTTCCCATTTTAAAGATTGGTTTTCTTATTATACATTAATAAATTAGACTTATGAAGAAGAGGTGAAACTCTTTGTATGCATGGATGAGGTAGGCATAGTGGGTAATAAAATAAAACATCAGTCAGCATCAATGAAGTTTGTTTTTAAAATGATTTATATTTATTTACTTATATTAAAATTTTGGAAGTTTTATTTTAAGTACTAGCTTGGGAACCCAGTGCTGCCCAGGCTACTCACAATTGCTCCCGCCGTTTACCCGCACTTGAAAGATTTTACCGGGAAACTAAATTTTCGCTATTAAAGACGACCCACCCAACTTAGAATCTTAAAACAAAGCTAAGAACATTCTCGTGTTCCGAGTTCTCCAATCAATATTTCGAGGCAAATCGGTCCAGAGGTTCCTGAGTTATGATCGGACAAACAAACAGAGATTACAACTTTATATATATATATACATTTAGATAAAGTGAACCTTCTACCTGAGAACAGAACCGTTCCTTTCTTTCTTAATAATGTTAATTACAAAAATAAAATGTTTTTAAAACCAGAGATACTTATAATGAAGTCTGGTTTCGACTGGTGGAAATACAGTCTACCTATCCAGACTGCAGGAGGGTTTTGATTCGTATCTTTCTTAATAATATTTTCACCTGTCTAGGTATTTCAGCAAGAACTGCTCTAGCCAGCTTATGTCTGGCTTCTGCAGGGTCAAGAACCTGGTGATAGCTACGAGGTTCAAGTTGACCGCTAGGCAGGAACTTCTTCATGTCTGAACAAAAAAGTAGTTATTATGAAAAATATTTCTAAAATTAGATTGCCAAACGAATGCCGCAAATTATTTATAAAGTCAAAGACGACCTTAAAGTCTTCAATCAATTAATCATTATTCCTGATTATTTAGAACATACTGAACAAAAATTACGCTTGCAAAAATAGTAAAAAATGTACACCATCGGATTTTATAGATATAGGAATTAGAAAATTAGAATTTGTGATGAACAGTCTCATGACGGATTAGAATGGAGAAAATTACTTACGCACAAATTGCACAATATCTCGCTCCGCCTGTTTCCGTCCTGCACAGAGACGTGCTCGGTCAGAGTCCAGGTCTGTTAATGCTCCCATATCTCCATCTCCTACTCCTACCTGGATATAGGGAGGGATTAATCATCAAAGGAATTGAGTTTTTGCCACAAACTCAAATCTTCTGATCCCAATATCTTTGCAACCTGATGGTTTTAACCTTTGATATTTCAAACTTAGATTATTTTATCTATAAGTATTAATAGTTTGAAATATCTAAGGTCTACGACATTGGGTTACAAAGATATAGATATTAGAAAATCAGAGTTTGTGGCAAAAACACAATTCCTTTATCTCAAGTTTAATAATTATGATTCAGGGGTTTACACGTACAGAAAAGGTTTTAATTATTCTGTTCAATAAATCAATAAATTAACGAATTAGAAAATAAAATTGTTTAAAATATATATTTTAAAATCACCACGTGGTGGCAAATTGTTATATTTCCCAGAATTTAAAAACAAAATCAAATATTTTCAACAATATTATTCTCCATTGAAAAATTTTGATAATTTCAGGGAATATAGTCCAACAGTCCACAGTCCACAGCTCCCATAGGAAGTTCGGAATTTTAGAATTTAAAAAAATATAAAAACAGAGGGACGGAACCTTTTATTTTGACGGAAGTTCGAGCAAGTATTTTCAGTCCCTCATCCCTCCTCTTTCGGGTTTTATTAGGTCAACCGTATACTGGGTACACTAGTTAGGCTGGTACGGTAAATACTAGACCGGCATCCTTGTATCTAGTTGGATCATGCTACTTTTTAACAAATGTGGTTTACGGATTCCAACTTGTTCAGGCTTGTGGTTCGGAAGTTTAAAGCTTCGATCAATTAAAGATGATTGGTCGAATCTCTTCACGATCAGAAATTTGATTAATTAGGTCATAGAACAATTAAGATAACAGATAGGACACTATATGTCGTCTTTTCAAGATGTATGTTTGTTTCGTTCACAATAACCCTGAGGCAGAAGCCCAAAGGAGTTACGAGTAATCATCGTAGAACAGGCTCAGAGAGTAAGCCTATTATACGCTTGTTAAATAAAGGTTAACTGCTTGACTCAATGTTTACTGCTTGAATCAATGTTTACTGCTTGAATAAAGGTTTACTGCTTGAATAAAGGTTTACTGCTTGAATGAAGGTTTACTGCTTGAATTAAGGTTTACTGCTTGAATAAAGGTTTACTTCTTGAATAAAGGTTTACTGATTGAATAAAGGTTTACTGCTTGAAAATAAAGGTTTACTGCTTGAATAAAGGTTTACTGCTTGAATAATAAAGGTTTACTGCTTGAATAAAGGTTTACTGCTTGAATAAAGGTTTACTGCTTGAATACAGGTTTACTGTTTGAATAAAGGTTTACTGCTTGAATCAATGTTTACTGCTTGAATAAATATTTAAACGGTATCTCTGCTTGTATAATATTTTACTAGAAATCCTACCATGAACATTGTAAAAAGAACGAAGAATTCCTATTTTAGAAATAAATGCTGTAAATATTGGCATGTACATTCTTATCCTCTAGTTTGTGGTCTTTGGAGACTAATATATAGCAAGATAAAGGACTGTATAAGATAAATATTGGCATGTACATTCTTATCCTCGAGTTTGTGGTCTTTGGAGACTAATATATAGCAAGATAAAGGACTGTATAAGATAAATATTGGCATGTACATTCTTATCCTCGAGTTTGTGGTCTTTGGAGACTAATATATAGCAAGATAAAGGACTGTATTGGCATGTACATTCTTATCCTCGAGTTTGTGGTCTTTGGAGACTAATATATAGCAAGATAAAGGACTGTATAAGATAAATATTGGCATGTACATTCTTATCCTCGAGTTTGTGGTCTTTGGAGACTAACATATAGCAAGATAAAGGGCTGTAAGATAAATTGTCAAACTACCTTTTTTAACCCATACTCATTTCATATAGAGGAAATGCAACTTTTTTTCTTAACTTTAGCAATAAAGGTTGCAGTTTATATCCTTTAAAGAAAAGTAGAAGAATACTCTTGTGAATGCATTTAAATGATTATTCATGAAATCACATTTGAATGAGTATTGCCGACAGAAAACATAAACAAACAATATTTTTTTTTTTGGAGAGGGGGCAAAAATTATATTTGTAAACATTACCAAAGTGTTTGAAGTGTAATTTTTGAATAAAAGTTTTCTTTCTAATTGTTTGATGTTATTCAAAGATAAAGTAAAATATTGTAATTATTACTCGCATATATTTACGCTGAAGTTGTTATAACTGATAGAGAAATGTCTGGAAGATCTCTGTTTTAAATCAGAATTGTAAGCACTTGATAAATTTAATGATCTTGTTAAATGTTGTTAAATTTTGACTAAATTATAAAAGCTGAAAAAGCTGACGACAATTAATAATACTTGAATAAGGATCTGATTACTCACCTCAAACTCTAATCTATTATCCTTATATCATAGTAACCTGATGTGGTTGACCTTTTATCTTTCTGCAAGAGATCAAATAATCAAAGTTTTACATATCAATGGTTTACGCCATCAAGTTGTGTATGTTTAGGAAATAAAAAATTTGAGTTGAAGGCTTTTTAACAGTTCTGTGTGGGTTAGGTTAGGATTTGAAAATAACTCACCAGAACTACAGAGAGTGGTAGATTGCTACTGTTCACTAGAACCTCCTTAGTTTCATCAAAATCAGTAACTCCACCATCAGTTATTAGCAGGACTATTGTATACTCATCCACCTATACAGAGCAAGACTATACTCATCCACATATACAGAGTAGGACTATACTCATCCACCTATACAGAGTAGGACTATTACATACCCATCCACCTATACAGAGTAGGACTATTGTATACTCATCCACCTATACAGAGCAAGACTATACTCATCCACATATACAGAGTAGGACTATACTCATCCACATATACAGAGTAGGACTATACTCATCCACCTATACAGAGTAGGACTATTACATACCCATCCACCTATACGGAGTAGGACTATACTAATCCACCTATACAGAGTAGGACTAATGTATACTCATCCACCTATACAAAGTAGGACTATTGTATACTCATCCACCTATACAGAGTAGGACTATACTCATCCACCTATACAAAGTAGGACTATACTCATCCACCTTTACAGAGTAGGACTATACTCATCCACCTATACAGAGTAGGACTATTGTGTACTCATCCACCTATACAGAGTAGGACTATACTCATCCACCTATACAGAGTACTCATCCACCTATACAGAGTAGGACTATACTCATCCACCTATACAGAGTAGGACTATACTCATCCACCCATACAGAGTAGGACTATACTCATCCACCTATACTAAGTAGGACTTTACTCATCCACCTATACAGAGCACACTATAAACTTCAGTTAATTCGAAGTACCGGACTAGGAAGCTAGTACTGCAGTATTACATATTGACTACATACACCAAATGAATCATCATCTTCTTGTGAGATTATTGTTAGTAGGACTTTAAATACATTAATTACAATATAGTAAGCTATTGCTTAATTATGAAGATATACCATCTATTTGAGAAAAAAAAAACAATTTATGTAGTAAACGATAATGTCGAATAGAAATCCTTTGTGGTTAACCATATTTATTGAGTTTGTATGCTAGACATTTTTCACTCAACTCCGACAGTTTGAGGAAATATATAAATCTTTAAAGAAAAGTTGAAAACCACATTTCCGATGGCAGGTTCTATTTCGTAGTTCAGAAACTTCAAGTAATATATTTTCTAAAGTTTTACATTTTCGTTTCACTTGTATTTTAACTAATCATAGACTTAAAGGGTTGTGAACTGGGTAACAAAAATGTACGATAAATACAATAAAAGGGAGAGTTTAGATTCTATTTCAAGAGATCCTCAATTTATAAAGTGGTATGTAAGCTTCCCAAGTTCCCAACGCAAGGATCCTTTAAACATTAGCCTGATCATCAACGAGTACTTCACTGAATCATGCTTTTAGCTAAAATGCACGGCGTTAAATATGTCCTGCATTTTTTAGCCCACCGCCGGTTCCCTCAAAACATGTCCGCCTATTTGGTCCAGCCGTTTGGCCATCTAACGAACATTTATTGATTCGCTGTCACAAAATCAGATTTTTTAACCCCAATATCGTTGCAACCTGATAGTATACACCTTTAATATTTCAGATTGAGACTATTTTAGCTTCAAGGATTAATAGTTTGAAATCTCAAAGGTCTTTAACATGGGTTGCGAAGATAAAGGGGTTAGAGAATCAATTTCTTTGAACACATTAGCGGAGATAGATTTTCTGCATAACATGAAAGATGAAAGTAGACTCAGTACTATTAGAAGTTTGAAGTTGAGCTAAACAAGTTAAAAGAACTTGCAGCAGTATGCTTGACAAAAAGACCCGAGATGAAAACTTGTATTGAAGACCCTTAATCCCAATTGCTAAATCTCTGTATCCAATTTGGACACTTTTGATTTTTTTTCTTAATCATTTCTTTTGGATATCCATGCTGGATTTCTATCCTTAATCACGCGAAACATTTCTCGAATTCTGATTGGCTGTTCGGTTTTGTTCTATCGACACTCTGATTGGTTGCATTTTAGATACTTTCCTGGATAGTAAATTTATCTTAGGATTAAATTAATCTTATAGAGGAGATCAAGCATTGTTTTCAGATCCGATTAGTGAAAACCCTTGGCCAATTTTTTAAAAACTTCCTATTTCGCTTCCACACGAATCATTGATTAAGTTGAATAAAATCTGCTACAGGGCCTACAGCCATGAGAAAAAAAATCGCTTCTTTGTGTAGTTTGATCAGAGAAAGTACAAGGTTACCCACATAGAATGAGTCATTAATGACAACCTCAAACGATTAAAATATTCTACTATTACTTTTGTACTTAATCAAGTTTTGAAAACATTATACACCAATAAGAAGATTTTCTGTGCAAAGATATTTCCGCTTGGTTAAACCAATATTTGACATATTAATATTACTCCTTATTTGTCAGATAATCCTACAAAACGAGACAAAAATATCTCGTTATTTTGCATATTTTTGACAGAAAAACAAAAAAAAATATTTTTTATTTTATTTTCTCTCAAATGTTATAAAATAAGTATCAAGGTATAAAATATCAAACCCAGTGGGTAGTAAATTGCCTCTGAGGCCGTTTATACATAATATATCGAATACATTGCATTTAATTCTATTTCAGTTGTTTTATAGTTTATGTTTTACTTTTAACATGAAACTGTAATTATTATTATGTTTGTTTGTTGTTTGTTGGAATCAAATAAACGTGAAACAGATCAACCCATAAGGAATTGAGTCTTTGCCACAAACTCAAATGTTCTAATCCCTATATCTTTACAACCTGATGATGGAATCCTTTGATATTTCAAACTAGATCATCGGGGTGAAAAGAAAATCAGAGTTTGTGGCAAAGACGCAATTATTTTTTCAGTAGCAACTCACTTTCTGAAATTATTATCCTGAAACTTTCATATATCTTTGCGACCTGATGGTGTAAACCTGTCATATTTCAAACTAAGATTATTTACTCTAAATGAATTTAAAGTTTGAAATATCAAAGGTCTGCTACGCTGCAAAGATGGATTAGAAAATCAGAATTTTTATGAAAATATTTTTTATTTAAATGCTTCCAACCTCTTCCTCACTGCAGAACTGATCAACTGTATACTGGAATAGATCACTGTAGCGGGTTGGCTCTGACAATTTCACTAAATAAATAATATACACTTCACATAAAGATATATTGAACCACAGTCATTGCTAATGGCAATGTCTACGTATTGGAAAAATGCAGTGTTAGGATTCAGAGGTAAAATATTTGTTGGAGTTTTTTATTTTAAAATTCTATTTATTTAATGAGCAAATTTTTATTTTACAAGAGATGAAAACGAAAACTAGCCAATCAATCAATCAATCTTTCTGACATTACATCTTGTGTCTAGAACCAATTATGAGTGATTTAATAAAAAGCAAACTTATAAAGTAAACAGTTCTGAAGCGTGTAAAAACATAAGATTCTTGTGGAGCCTTTCAAAAGTAAAAATACCCCAGTAATTGCGTCTTTGCCACAAACTCAAATTTTATAATCCTCATATCTTTGCAACCTGATGGTATAAATCTATGATATTTTAAAGTTAGATTAACTGAATTTAAAGATTTCACACTTTGAAATATTTAAGGTTTGCGACATTTGGTAGCAAAGATATGGATTAGAAAAAAAGGTTTGTTGCAAAGTTAAAACGAACCAAAAACAAAGATAAAATACCTTGTTTAAGTGTGATTTTATAATTATCAATAAGATCTTCTACTCCTCTGCAATAAGGACTCCTGGAGTTCCCATTCAGCGGGAAGCAGTGAGAGACGACTCCACCTATATTAGCTCCGAACCCCAAACCCAGGAGTTTCTTATCTGAAAACAAACCTAGAGTTAATGTGAATCAATTCTCTAGGAATGGTTCCAGATCAGTAGGACCTCCATTAACAAACTATTTCCCCATTAGAGGAAAAAGAAAAGATTTTTCTAGTTTTCTGAAGTGCTCTCTGAGTAATAAGATAAGAAGATAGTGTAGTGGGAACCTGAGTGTTGACTAAGTTCTAGAATTAAACTTTTAAAGAGAAGAATTTCCTTGGTTCAAGTTCTCTCACCATAGTCGTAATCCTGAAGTATCTCAGCAACTGTCCTGATAGCGGCGGTATACGCATTCTCTCCTGTTCTAAAATAAGAGGCTTTATCATATATATTTGTTGAAATACAAGAGATAGGAGAAGAAATTCCACCTCTGACCTTCCATTCTACTCAATATTCACTCCTACCCTTCCATCCTCCTTCATATCCATCCATTTTATCCTACTCTAAATCAATCCCTACCCTTCAATTCTACTCCATATCCACCCCTACCCTTCCATCCTTCTCCATATCCACCCCTACCCTTCCATCCTACTCCATATCCACTCCTACCCTTCCATCCTACTCCATATCCACTCCTACCCTTCCACCCTACTCCGTATCCACCCTTCCATCTTTCTCCATATCCACCCTTCCATCCTACTGCATATTCCACTCCTACCCTTCCATCCTACTCCATATCCACCCCTACCCTTCCATCCTTCTCCATATCCACCCTTCAATCCTACTGCATATTCCACCCTACCCTTCCATCCTACTCCATATCCACCCCTACCCTTCCATCCTACTCCATATCCACCCTTACCCTTCCATCCTACTCCATATCCACCCCTACCGTCCCATCCTACTCCATATCTACCCCTACCCTTCCATTTTAATTCAAATTCACCCTTCCATCCTACTGCATATTCCACCCTACCCTTCCATCCTACTCCATATCCACCCCTACCCCCTACCTTTTGTCAATTGAATGAAGTGAATGGGTTGAGTTCGGATCTCCGTTACTACTTGTCATATCAACTCCAACCACTAGGTTCAATCTTACTCCACCTCGGATATAATCCAGGAAAGTGGAATCCTGAAAAAATCACATTTGAAGCAACCAGAGCCGAGAAGTTAAATTACACAGCTCATCAGTTATGGTTAAAGTGTTAAGCTTTGCAATCTTTCAAAAATGTTTTGCTCTGAACTCAGAATCTCATGAGAATTCTTTTTTCCATCAGAATTCCTCTGTTTCTAAAACTATTTGATCTTGGTCAAAATATTCTCATTGTTTGATCTTGTAAATCATCCTGGAATAAAATAATTTTTCCTGTTCAATTTTATTTTTTCTTCTTGCTTCTTGTTTTTTTTTTGTTTCTACACTTTGAGACCTTTCCAAATAGTTGTTTTAACATATTTTTGGAACAGGTAGGAGAGAGATAAGGAGGTTTGATCTTTTTAGAATTAAAAAAGAAAAATATTCAGAAAATAAAATATTCTTTTGATCTGGGTGCACCATTAACCATTAGTAGAGCCATTTTTATTTAAACAATAAAAACCTTTCAAAATCCTAATCTATTGAAAACTTTTAGTAAAGTTTACTTCGCAAAACAGAGTTGGAACTGGTTCAACTTTCTTCTTTTTATAATTGCAACTAGTTTTTATTAGATCATACCTGTTCAATAGACACGGTTTTTAGCACGATCTGTCCAGAATTAACATATCCTCTCTTCTTCTCAACCTTCTTCTTGTTTACTAGATCATACTAAACATAAACATGATGCTATTTATCTACCTTCTTCTTGTTTACTAGATCATACTAAACATAAACATGATGCTAGTTATCTACCTTCTTCTTGTTTACTAGATCATACTAAACATAAACATAATGGTAGTTATCAACCTTCTTCTTGTTTACTAGATCATACTAAACATAAACATGATGGTAGTTATCTACCTTCTTCTTGTTTACTAGATCATACTAAGCATAAACATAATGGTAGTTATCTACCTTCTTCTTGTGTACTAGATCATACTAAACATAAACATTATGGTATTTATCTACCTTCTTCTTGTTTACTAGATCCTACTAAACATAAACATAATGGTAGTTATCTACCTTCTTCTTGTTTACTAGATCATACTAAACATAAACATAATGGTAGTTATCTACCTTCTTCTTGTTTACTAGATCATATTAAGCATAAACATAATGGTAGTTATCAACCTTCTTCTTGTTTACTAGATCACACTAAACATAAACATGATGTTAGTTATCAACCTTCTTCTTGTTTACTAGATCACACTAAACATAAACATGATGGTAGTTATCTACCTTCTTCTTGTTTACTAGATCATACTAAACATAAACATGATGTCAACTTTTTCCAGTCTTAAACTTTAACAGTTATAGTTTAAAAAAGTACTGTTAACAAGCTTGTTACCAAACTAACTATTTAAATTTCCGATCCCCAATAAGCAACAAAAACAAACTGTAGTTTTACTGGAAAATGAAGAAGACCAATACTTGATTTCCTGAGCTGGGAACTGGGATATTGAGAATTGAGATCAATGGTTGATCTCGATCCGTAACCGTACCCCGTCAGGGATCCTTAAATCAAAAGTGCTTACAGTGTATATCGAGAACAAGAGATCGGGATTATGACTATCCAACACAATAGTTGCCAGCTCTGGTTCTAGTTTTTCTTGCTTGATAAGATTTTGTTGTCGTACAGTACAAAGTACTTCCCCTTTCTGATACATGTACTGCCTCTATCTGGTACAACGCACTGCCCCTACCTGGTACAACGTACTGTCCCTACCTGGTACAACGTTCTGCCCTTACCCACTGCAAACTAAGATGTGCAAGCTCTCACGCACAACTTTTTCCGTATTTGGTAAATAACTACTTTTACGCTTAAGCTAGAAACCAGCGGTTTATATGACTAGGGATAAAAAAGTACAAGTGGTTGGGTAAGGTACCAAAGGACAAGGAGCTGCGCCACTTTAAAGTTAGGTTGTCAATATATGTGATGATTAACTATTAGAGTTGTCTATATCTCAGTGTACCTGGTACAATGTACTGTCCCTACCTGTACAATCTGGAAACCTTCTCCCTCTGACAGTTCGTCTAGGTTTGTTGTACAGTCTCCAATAAAATCATGACCTCCGTCGGCATCCCAGTTATACACCTCTATCCTAGAATATATATCCTAGTTATACACCTCTATCCTAGAATATATATCCTAGTTATACATCTCTATCCTAGAATATATATCCTAGTTATACATCTCTATCCTAGAATATATATCCTAGTTATACACCTCTATCCTAGAATAAATATCCTAGTTATACATCTCTATCCTAGAATATACAAGACATTTCTTATATGATATTTGATAAAGATGGTTTACATTTACGGATATTATTTGAAATATCTTTTTAAATTCATGATAGAAAAGTTATAATTTACATATTTAAAACTCAGATTATTGTATCTCACAGAACTTAAAGTTTGAAATATCAAAGATCTTCTTCAACATTAAGTTCTAAGAAACAAGTTATCATGTATTAAAATGTAGTTTTGTAGCATGCGATATTCTTCTTCATATTCATCAATTAAATTATATTATTATTGAGATTTTTTAATCTGAATTTTCCTAAAATCGGTTATTTTCGTGTTTCATGTGTTTTATCTTGTTTTGTTAACAACCTTTATATAGTAGACAAGTAGACATAATAGAATTACAAGATTTAGAACAAAATTCAGGAGTTATATATAATTTTCTAAAATCATGAAAAAAATGTTTGAAAATTAAGATGTTATAACGAAAATTGTGATAAAATTTGTTTTAAAATTTTAAATTGCTCACACAACAAAACATTTGGCTGAACCCTAAACTAATATCAAATTTACCAATCACGGAAATAAAATAATGTTTTATAAAAATATAATTTTAATAATCTCATTTCTTCACATTTAGCTGATCATGGTTTAAAATAGAAATTCTAATTATTAAATAGAAATTACAAAAAAATAAATCCGTGCCACAAAGGTGCTATGACAAAAAAAAGATCATAAAAATGAATGAAAGAAACATTCTTGACCACATATCTTTTGTTATCAGGGTCTTTAATTAAGTTTTTGTTCTGCATTTCAAATCCCTATTTAATCCATTGTTGTCAAAAATACACCAAATGTTCGCGGATTTTTCTGTCTAAATCTGCGCATACAAAAAAAAGTCGAATTTTTTTTCAAGTTAAATATTTTTATTTAGACTTGTCTCAAACAAACAAACAAATTGGATACAAAAAAACAGACACCCAGACAAGCAAAGTTTATCCTAGAAGATGTGGAGATAGATGTAGATATTTAAAAAGTTTTGTTACAGTTTTAATTAGTAAACTCACCAGAGCTACAAACTTTTAAATGTCTAGACGGAATGAGTTGTGAGATTAATATATCTCAGTGATCCAATCCTCGAAGTTTTGACCAATATTATGAATTGGAAAAATCAAATGATCTAAAATTGGTTTGTTGAACAGTTGATATTTAGCGAGTAAACACTGAGCTTAACTCAATCTTCTATTTTAAAGTTCCTAGCTACAGGTTAGATTTATATTCAATTTAAAAAAATTTGAATTATTTTACCTCAAAGGTCTGTTCCAGTCTCCTCCACACAACTTAGCAGCATCCAGGGTTACAGGCTTCCAGTCAGGGTTCGCGGTATTCTTAATTATTATTTTTATAAAAAAGGATCGCTGTATTAAACATGTGTTCCCTGTATTCTTAATAATGTTATTCGTTCAACAGGGTTCCCTGTATTCTTTATAAATATTTTGGTTAAACAGGGTTCCCTGTATTCTTGATAAATATTTTGGTTATACAGGGTTTCCTGTGTTCTTAATAATGAGTATGAGTGAAGAATATGAATGAAGAGTATGAATGAAGAGTATGAATGAAGAGTATTAGTAAAGAGTATGAATGAAGAGTATGAATGAAGAGTATGAATGAAGAGTATGAATGAAGAGTACGAATAAAGAGAATGAGTGAAGAGTATGAATGAAGAGAATGAATGAAGAGTATGAATGAAGAGTATGAATGAATGATTGATAGATAGATACCATCTGTTGCATTTATCTTGAAGTAATGATAGATTATGTTACAAGATTTCTCCGAAAAATGGTAATTTTAGAAGATTTACTTTAACATACGCCAAAGAGGTCGAAAGTTTTGAATTAATCCTTTAAAAAAACCTTAATCCGTATCTCCGTAGTAGTGCGCGACGGATTAACTTTTTTTTAATAGATTACTGACATTCTGACCAATCAGAATTAATAAATAAATTGATCTTGACCAATAGGATATCGCGAAAATACGAGTCAGTTGTTTTTCACGGATTAAGCACTTATCACTTCCAAAAGAAGTTTCGGTGTGTGTACATCGATTACAGAGTTCAGTTGTAAAATAATAGAGTCTTGGCCACAAACTCAAATGTTTTAAAATATTTATCTTTACAACCTGATGGTTTAAACCTTTAATATTTTAAACTTAGATTACTGGATCTAACACAATTTGTGAATAAAGTTAAATGCAAACAAAATTAGTTTTTGTTTTCTGCATTTCAAATTGTCACTTTGAAGTTTATAATTCTATTTTATTCACTTTACTGATCGAGATAAGATAAGATAAAGTTTATTGCTAAAATACATGTATCTGTATACAGAACGAGTTTACAATTACAAATTGATGATTATATTAACAGTACAAGTATAAAGCAATTAGGTGGAAAATAGCTCTTGTCTGTTTTGATTATTTTTTTCCACCTAATTTCAATAATGATAATAACACATTTCAATTAAATAGATTTAAGGAGAACTATTAGAGATCCGAGTCCATTAGCGCCTGATCCAATCAGGCGCTAATGGACATATGTTTGTTGTCTATTCTGAACCAATAGAAATTGAATGGCGTTAACATCTATCTTTCTATCTATCTCATTATCCAATTAGAGATAAATCCTTATATCGGCGCTATAACAGTAAATGGAAATATTTACTTCTACTGAAACTATATAGATCTCTC